ACGTAGTCCCGAAACGCGAAAGATATTGTGTAGAGATTTTTACAATTTTGTTATAATATCTTATAATAATAATAATAATAATAATAATAATATATATATATATATATATATATACTCGACTCTCCCCGTCGAATTCGACGTATGAGGTTCAAGCAGATCAGTTCCTAGGAAACCGACAGCCCGACAACAGCACATGAGATTTGATTATAGTGGTGGAGGTTTCGTGCAGGACCATCCACACTTTTTGAAGTGCCGAATTCAGAGACCTGGTGCACTACGTGCCACAAGGCCCCCAAACGACACTCAGCAAGTTTTGAATTCAGACTTGTCCTTCTCCTAGACCAGTTGACATCCAAGGCTATAGAACCCAGTCTGTCCTGCTATTTACCCAGAGCTAGAGGGAGAAGAAGAGGATTCACACCTTTCCCAAGGGTATTAGCACGTAAGTGAATATAATGGATTCGACTGGAATTCGAACTCTGCTCTCCCATTCTTCAATCAAGCTGCTATTCATTACTCTCCCGTGCATGCATGCATATATATATATATATATATATATATATATATATATATATATATATATATATATATATATATATATATATATATATATATATATAAGCAAAATAAAAAAAAAAATCTATACACGACGCGTTTCACTGAAGAACGCCTACTGCATTGGATTTTTTCAGGTTAAAATCAACGGCAAAACTTTATGTAAGTAAATGCTTTTGGATCAACAAGGATAAGAGGGGGTCCATAAATCAAATTACCTTATCACATCCGCTGACCAGAAGCCAGAAAAAGTCTGATTTATGCTCAAGCTCCTATCAGCACATTTTCCATGGATTTTTTTGTCATTCTAACCTGAAGCCGAACAAAGCAGACGTTCTTCGGTGAAACGCGTTGTTCATAGCTTCTTCTCCACGTCTCATGACCTTCACTTTTGTTTCGGCTCTATTATACATTCTACCCATATATATATATATATATATATATATATATATATATATATATATATATATATATATATATATATATGGGAGAGGGTGCTCTGTTCATTTTTGTTTCTTTTTCGTGGTCGCTCTTTCTCTCTTGTTCGTTCGAATGCCCTCGCTTCCATTTTAAAATGCAGAAGTTTTGTTAGCGAAGCGGGAAAATCAATTATTACAAGGCGAACCGTTTGCAATGACGCACATCCGACACGCGAGATGCTGATATGCCCAGCGGGGATTTCAGGCAACAGGCAAGGGCTTGATCAGACGGCTTACCTGGTAATAACTCTGGAAACGGCTTCTTCTAATGCCAGACAACGTGGAGACCGACCGGACATCAGACTGATTAATTTACGCCTATTGAGCCAGTCTTGAGACTGAATAATTTACTCCAATTGATCCAGTCTTTAAATCGAACAATTTACTATTCAACCTGTCTTTCGATTGAGTAATCTTCTTCTATTGAGCGTCTTTCATATTGAGTAATTTAAATCTTTTGAGCTAATTTTACAATCTACTCCTTTGCGGCAATTTCTAAGATTCTCTTCAAATACTTTCTTCATTGAGCAACTTGCATCTAAACCTGCATTCGCAAAAATTATACAAAATCCAGGATATTTCTTCAATAAAAATTACATTCATCCAAAAGTCACTATATGTATATTTTATATATATATATATATATATATATATAAAAGAAGAGACGTGGTACCGCAAACGTTTTTGGTTGTAATGTGTTTTTTAAGAAAAAATATTATGCTTTATTTTCCATAATTTTACTACACGTGTTTCTGGTCTCGTGACCGTCTTCAGGTAAAGCGGAGATTTCCACATATTGTTAAAAATAATTAATTATTTCCTAATATATTCCAATGTTAAATATTCTCGATATGAGACATTCTCTGTTTTTGTGTTAGTAATCCGAATGTGTTGGAACCACTACAACCTCTTTCTGTTATATATATATATATATATATATATATATATATATATATATATATATATATATATATATAATTTATTTGAAAATTATATCATAAAATTGTTATAAAATCACTACAAAAATAATCATTTATTTCAACACTTCTGGTGTCTTATCAAGTGATGGTGTTGAACGTAATACATCACTTAATAAGACACCAGAAGTGTTGAAACAAAATGATTATTTTTGTAGTGATTTTATTTTTGTTATAATTTTCGAATAAATGATTATATTTGCTCTACTCTGTATTGAGCACTCTTTTAAGAAGAGTCATTGTTGGTTATTGGAATTTATTCCGTATACATCAATGCTATACTTGGGTATATATATATATATATATATATATATATATGGTGGACTCTCCCGTCGTAATCTACGTATGAGAGTCAAGCAGCTCAGCTTCTAGGAATCGACAGCCCAGACACCAGCATATATGATTTGATTATAGTGGTGAAGGCTTTGTGCATAACCCTCAACACTTTTTGAAGGGCCGAATACGGAGATATGCACTAGGTGCCACAAGGTCCCAGGACAACACTTCAAAGGTTTTGAATTTAGAGTTGTCATTCTCCTAGACTATTTGCAATCCAAGGCTATAGAACCCAGTCTGCTCAACTATTTAGCCAGAGTTGTGGGGAGAAGAAGAGTATTCATACCTTTCCCAAGATATTAACACGTAAGTGAATTTAATGAATTCAACTGGAATTCGAACACTCGGCTTTCCGATTCGTTAATCCGATACACACACACACACACACACACACACACACACACACACACATATATATATATATATATATATATATATATATATATATATATATATATATATATGAATATATATATATAGGTCACGGTGAATGAGTGAGTGAGCGTGCGTGTATGTATGTTTGCGTAAGTATGAGTGGCGTTCCGATGAGGGCTTTTCCTCCCACTCGATAAACACACCGATATCCGCAAATATATATAAATCCAAAATTTGGCAACTCGACGTGGTGTAATGTTTCGCAAACTTGTCTTGCTAGATCTGTTACTACTGATAATTGAGTTCGATCCTCATTCGATGCCCCATACTTTCGGCCTTGTGCCACATCTAAGCTATGCTTGGAAAATCACTATATAAATCTAAAATTTAGAATTTATTCAGTTTGTCTGACGAAAATAATCTGTATAAAAAATTGCATATATATATATACATACATATTTTATACACACATATATATATATCTTTGTGTGCGTGTGTGTGACCAGAGGGTGAGATGGGTAAAAAATGTGTCCGTAAACTCCTGATAGGTATTTTAGCACGAAATCACAAGTTGTCGTATTTGATGGGCTTTGGCTTTAAAAAAAAGTATTGATCAGTTCAGATAACTCCAGGAAACTGAAACAAAATCTTTCTAAGGATGCCACATTTTTTTCTCTGTGTTTGCTGAATTAAAAATGCAAGTGAGTGACATGTTTGCAACAGGGGTTAGAATGAAACACTTGAAGAGGGGGTATCCTTAGTTAAATATAAATATATATACACAATCTCCTGAGAAGTTTTCCATGAAAATCCGAGTACTTGTGTCTCGTGGCCGTCAAGCAAATGTTTCAACCACTCTGCCAACAGAACTCTAATATGGCGCACGTTACGCTTAAAATTGAACGGATTCAGAACACGTTTAGTATATTGTGCAATAGAGGATTAACCAATTTTTTTTCTGTGGATGTTTTTTTTTTTTTACTATTTTTTTCCGTCATGTTTGACAACTTTTGAGATAGACGCTGAAAAGTGAGGGCTTTGTTTTCTTTTTGGGAAAACACTTCTGTTTCGGAATAAAGTTTACCAAAAACACAAACGTATACGTGATATTCTCGATACAAACATGGTGAAATATCTGGTTTGGTCTTACCGACTTTCAACAAGAAGGAATGACGAGAAGATTTAAAATATTTGCCATAAAATTAAGTTATTATCAGGTAAGCTAAGTTAACTGGTTTCTCGTTCCAGCAAACACTAAGAAACGGTTTGAAATATTGTCAAACCCTATAATAGAAAAGAACCGTGATGAAGTGTACTGCATTTAAAAGGAACAACTTTTATTGGACTCATATTTTTTTACAATATTGTGAACAGGAACATGTATCTTTTCTTTCTTTCTTACTTTCTTTTTTCTTTCTTTTTTTCTTTCTTTCTGTCTTTCTTTCTTTCTATCGTTCTTCCTTCTTTCTTTCTTACTTTCTTTCTTTCTTTCTTTTTTCTTTCTTTTTTTCTTTCTTTCTGTCTTTTTTCTTTCTATCGTTCTTCCTTCTTTCTTTCTTACTTTCATTCTTTCTTTCTTTTTTCTTTCTTTCTGCCTTCCCTTCTTTCTGCCTTCCTTTCTTTCTATCGTTCTTACTTCTTTCTTTCTTACTTTCTTTCTTTCTTTCTGTCTTTCTTTCTATCGTTCTTCCTTCTTTCTTTCTTACTTTCTTTCTTTCTGTCTTTCTTTCTATCGTTCTTCCTTCTTTCTTTCTTCCTTCCTTCTTTCTTTCTTACTTTCTTTCTTTCTGTCTTTCTTTCTATCGTTCTTCCTTCTTTCTTTCTTTCTTTCTTTCTTTCTTTCTTTCTTCCTTCCTTCATTCTTTCTTCCTTCCTTTCTTTCTTTTTTTTTCTTTCTTTCTGTCTTTCTTTCTATCGTTCTTCCTTCTTTCTTTCTTTCTTTCTTTCTTTCTTTCGTATTATTTCTATATTACGCTCTCCTTTTCTTTCAGTCTCTTTCTTTCATTGTTCTCTTTTTCTTTTTTGATCCTTTTGAAGTCGCTTTGTTACTTTCTTTGTTCATTTTACTTTCTTCCTTTCCTTTTCTTTCTAATTTTTGTTTACTTCCTTTGCTATCTCACTCTTATTATTTCATTATTACATTTAATCTCTTTGTTTCTTTCTTTTTTTTTCGTTCTTTTATTGTTCTTTGTTTCTTTTTGTTTCTTTTTTTTTCATATAGGCTTAGTCTTTCTTTTTATTTATATCTTTCTTTCTTTCTTTTTTTTTAACTCACCACATGTCTTCCTTTCTTGAATTTACTTTCTTCCTTCACTTTTCTTTCTTTAATTCTTTCTTTCTTTTACTCTCTTTCTTTTTTATTCATTCATTCATTCTTTCTTTCTTTCTTTCTTTCTTTCTTTCTTTCTTTCTTTCTTTCTTTCTTTCTTTCTTTCTTTCTTTCTTTCTTTCTTTTTCTTTCTTTCTTTTTTTTCTTTCTTTTTATTTTCTTTCTTTCTTTTTCTTTCTTTATTCTTCCTTGTTCTTTCTTTCTTGTTCTTCCGTTGTTTTCATGTTTTTTCTTTCTTTCTTTCTTTCTTTCTTTCTTTCTTTCTTTCTCTTCCATTGTTTTCTTGTTCTTCCATTGTTTTCTTGTTCTTTCTTTCTTTCTTTCTTTTACCTCCTTCCTTTTTCTTTTATTTATTGTTTTTCTATTGTTTCCTAACTTGTTTTTTTTTCTTTCGTTATTTTTTTTCACCTTGATTTTACCTTTGATTTTAATCTTTAACTTTTCTCATTAATTTCCCTTCTTATTTTTCGTTTTCCTTCTATTTTCTCTCGTTATTTCGATTTACCTTTTTATTAGACCCGAAATTCTTGTTATTTAAGCGTTCCTTCATTTTTAATCCCATTTCCAGTCGTTGGATGGCGCCATCTTCCCAATTATTTCCGGATAATACCTTTTTTTTACTTTGAAAAGAAGGCAAAAATACGGCAGGTTAAACCAGATTTTATTCGAAGATGGCGTCTGTGTGTTTGCATTCTTCCTGTTATATATTTTTGGTAAAATTTGGGATCTATCTATCTATCTATCTATCTATCTATCTATCTATTCATCTGAACCTAATGATATCTATCTATCTATCTATCTATCTATCTATCTATCTATCTATCTATCTATTATCTATCTCAACCTGCTGATTATCTATCTATCTATCTATCTATCTATCTATCTATCTCAAACCTAATGATATCTATCTATCTATCTATCTATCTATCTATCTATCTATCTATCTATCTATCTATCAATCTATCTTTCTATCTATCATCTATCTATCTATGATCTATCTATCTATCTATCTATCTCAAACTGCTGATTTCTATCTATCTATCTATCTATCTATCTATCTATCTATCTAAACCTGCTGATTATCTATCTATCTATCTATCTATCTATATCTATCTATCTATCTATCTATCTATCTATCTCAATCTCAATATTCACATCTCTTTTTTTTTCTTTCTTAAACCCTTTTTTCATGTGTCTATCTTTGTTTACCCCATCAAAGTCTCACACACACACATGCGCGCACACACACATACATACACAGATGCATAACACACATCAACACACGCGCACACACATACACACACAGATGCATACACACACACACATACACACACGCTCGGGCGATTCGAAAGAATAAAGCAATTTCTGGGAAAGAAATGAACCGAAAGAAAAAGAAATAAAATAAAAATAAAAATAAAATCATAAAAATCAAACCGAAATTTATAAATTCTGTCGTAGCCAAAAGAATCATTCTTTTTTTTATTTCTGCAATTCACACGTTTTTGATTTCATTTGTTTTATATTTTTAGATTAATCATACTATTTGCCTTTTTTTTCTTTCCTTGATTTTATGACTTTAGAAATTTTATTACTTCTTCTTTTACTCGTTTTTCTTCTACTTCCTCTTCTTTTTCAGTTACTTTGATTTTATCCCATTTTTTCTGACATGTTCACGCTTCTTCTTTTCTAATTTTTCTTTTTTTAATGGTCTTTTACTTTTGAATTTCCTTTTTTAAGTTTCATTTATTCCTTCTTTTCTTCTTATTTTCATTTTTAATTTTCTTTTTCCTTCTTGCATTTCCTTTCATTTTTTTCTGTCATTTGCTTTTTTAATTTTCTTTCATTATTTCTTTTTTATCTTTGTGTCTTTTTCTTCTTGCATTTTCTTTCATTCTTCTTTTCTGTTATTTCCTTTTGAATTTTCTTATATTCATTCTTTTTTCTTATTTTCTTTTTTAAAGGTTCCTTTATTTTTTATTTTTCCTTTTTAAGTTTATTTGATTTTTTTCTTACATTTTCTTACATTCTTTTTCTTTCCTATTAAATCCGCTTTTAATTTTCATTCATTCTTTCTTTTCCTTATTTTTTTTTTTTTTTAATTTTCTTTGATTTCATCTTTTATCTTTTTTTTGCATATTCTCTCATTCTTCTTCCGTTTTAGTATTTTCTCTTTTAATTTTCTTTTATTCTTTCTTTCCTTTTCTTGTTTCCTTTTTTTTATTCTTTCTTTTTTTCGTATTTCCTATTTTAAATCACTTTTGTTTGGTCCTTGTAATGTTTTCTTTCATTTTTCATTACTAATATTACCCCTGTTAATTTTCTTTTTAGTCTTTCTTTCTTTCTTTCTTACTATCCTTCTTTCTTTCTTTTTCTTTCTTTCTTTCTCTTATTTCCTTTTTTTAAGTTTCTTTGTGATCTGTCTCTCCGTTTCTCTCCTGTAATGTTATTTAGTTTCTCACTAAGAACTATTTTACTTTCCTCTTCTCATTTTCTCTTTATTCATCTTTTTTTTTCCATTCTTTTCTCAAACACCTCTTCTTAATTTTATCAACTTTTTATTATTTATTTACTTCCTTTTCCGCTTTTTTTTTTTTTTTTTTTTTAATAGAAAACTTTATTTCTTGGTCCATATCTTTTTGGACTTCGGTTGTCAATTTTCGTTTAAGTTCGTCTTGCCTTGCATCCAATTTAATTTTTGTCGTTCCACAAGTTATAAATTTATACTTTATTCTTCCTCATTCTTTATCCATTTGTTTTCTTCATCATTCTTTCTCTTGCTTCTTTTATTTTTTTTCTTTATTTTATGTGATTCTAGTCCTCATTCCTCGTTCTTTTAACTAATTCTTCTTTTTGCACATTTTTGTCAGTTTTATTGCTTAAATCTAAGAATGAAGATATAAAACCACAAATGAATATAAAGAACATTATAATTTCGCTCACTACTTGCAATAAGAGATGGATTCATGACTTTTACCAAGTTTACCAGTGCGAAGGCGAGCAAAATATTCGACTCATATTTGAACTCGGCTCGCCGTTTCCGCTTTTAATTTTAATTAATTTTACGTTGCCAACAGATTTGCAATATAACGCTTACCTCACGAAAACTAAAACATTTTATTAGGATAAAATGCTCCTATTTTCTTCTCTCGCAAAGTTCAGTGTTAGAATTACTCTGAAGTAAGCGGAATTTTGTAAGTTTAAAAAGAATATACGCTGTTGCAATAAAAAAAACGATCTTTTTGATTGAAACTAAACACTTCTAATGTCATTTAACGGCTGACTCAGCACATTCTATTACGCGACTATCACTAATTTCATTAGTTGTTAAAATCTTTTAAAGTGAATCCAGTTTTATAATTTTTTAATTAATAGATAAACTAAAGATAAACTACATCCGAAACATGGGTAAGACAACAAACTACATCCGCGTCCTCGGTAAGAAGATAAACTATATCCTCGTCCTGGGTAAGACGATAAACTACATCCAAAAGCTAAGCCTTTGATTAGGAGGTTTTGAGGGACATGGAATCATCTCTTAATTGCTGGTGTTCCCAGGTCCACCCTGACCCGGATTTGTAGCACCTATCAGGGTCCCAGCTATGGGGAAATAGTTAAACCCACAAAAGTGGCCAAAGCACTATGAAAGTATAGAAATAGGTTTTAATACCAGCAATATATTTGTGAAAAAAATTATTACCAGCAATACATTTTTGAAAAAAAAATTATCACCAGCTATACTTTCAAAAATATATATATATTACCAGCAATACATTTTTGGAAAAAAATATTACCATCAATACATTTTTGAAAAAAAAAAATATTATCAGCAATACATTTAAAAAAAATGTTACCAGCAATACATTTTTGAAAAAAAAATATTAACAGCAATACATTTGTGAAAAAAAAAAAAAAAAAATTACCAGCTATACATTCGTGAAAAAAAAAAAGATTATTACCAGCAATACATTTGTGAAAAAAAAATTATTACCAGCAATACATTTATGGAAAAAAAATACCAGCAATACACTTTTGGAAAAAAAAATATTGTCAATAATAAATTGTTTGAAAAATATTACTAGCAATATATTTTTTGAAAAGAATATTACCAGAACTACAAATCTTGTCAGCATAAATTAACTTGTTGAGGTTGGTAGGACGTAAAAAAAAAACAAAAAAACTCAAACCAATCTAATATTTATCTTAAATAAATCGTTTGCCGAACAGTTAATCTAAAAATTTACAGAAAAATAAAGGCATAAAGAAAAGGTGCGAAACTACAAGAATAGCTCGATTAGTTTCGGCTCCATCAAAACATACGAACTAATCGAAAACTTATTAATCGAATTTAATAACCTACAGGAAATGATGTGATTTATGCATCAAATTTTAGTCTCATTCACAATTAATTTCTAATTTTTGTACTTTTTAATTAAAATATTTACATATAAGAGGATAAAATAAAAGTTCTATGAATTAATGTTTATTAATCTGAATTTTTAGGAAAAACATATTCAGAGTGGTTTGCCGCATGGTAGTCTTCTGTTCTTCATATAATTAGCAGTATTGAAAAATTGCCCATTATTCATTCTCTCTTTTATTTCTTTCTTCGACTTTCATTCATTCTTTCTATCTTGACCATTATTTGGAATTCTCCTTTCGTATTTGATCATTCTTCTTGATTTACTTTGATTACTACTTTGTATCCGTCATACATTTCAATAACTTTCATTTTTTTCCTTTCTTCTTTGTTTCATTCGTAAATTCCTACCTTCTTACCGTTTGTTCTTTATTGTCTTTTAGTTTTCCTTATTTCTTCCAAGATTTTCTTTCTTTCTGCAGATTTCGGGTTTTACTTTTTCTTTCTCTGTTTCATTCATTTTTTTTTATTCCTATCTTTTGCACTTCTTCTTTTTAATACCATTCTTTCATTACTTGACAAAATCTGTTAATCTAAAACCATTTTTTATAATCATAGTATACTACATTGTTTTTTTTATATATATATATATATATATATATATAAAAAGGTTTAAACACTAATATTCCATAGTCATAATTTATTCCATTGGAATCGTAAATACGATATATATATTTACGATTCCAATGGAATAAAATTATGACCATGAAATATTAGTGTTTAAGCCTTTTTATTATATCCTTACTCTGTCCTGGACATTGAGTTCTACCTGGATTCTATCCTCTTGGAATTTTTTTTATAAAAATATACATATATGGGTATTTATATTTATATATTTTGCATATGTATGTATATTTTCCACTAATATTATCTATCTATCTATCTATCTATCTATCTATCTATCTATATATATATATATATATATATATATATATATATATGTGTGTGTGTGTGTGTGTGTGTGTGTGTGTGTGTGTGTGAAAATATATCGAAAGTAGGAAAGAACTCGTAAGGTAAATAATCCAAAGTTCTTTAGTATTTTTGTTATTATTTTTTAAAAATAGTGCTCGATACAAAAGTAGAGCATAAATATAATTATTTATTTAAAAATATGATTCCAACACGCTACATAAGAGTTCTCATGTTTCAAAACATATGTATATCCAGGTAAGATGAGAACAAATAGAGTACCATTCTAAGTTTCGTAACATTTAATTTAAAAGAGTGCTCAATACATAGTAGAGCAATATTATTTGTTTTAGGATATTACACCGAAAACATGGAAAAATCGCTATAAAATTTCACTCGTGTTACTATTTGTATCAGTGCATCTCATTTGGTGGTTATAAATTATTTATATATATATATATATATATATATATATATATATATATATATATATATAGATAGATAGATAGATAGATAGATATCTCTCAATTAGTGCGGGTAATGTATATATTTTTGTCCCAGTTACTATTAAC